TGATTTATTTTGTTTCCGCATAAATTACTAAAAATTGTTTTAGATCACCTATTCACCCCCTCTAGGTGATCCTTGCTAGCTACATCATAAAAAACTTGAGTACTTGAAGTGTCTAGAAGAAACAAAGAACTGCTAAGGCTGGTTTGGTTCGGCATTTAAAGAAAGCCTACAGAAAAATGTGAAGACTTTAGGTTAAAGGATCGGTTTGAAATGCAAATAGTTTTTGGTAACATTTAATTGAAAAATGCCTTGGGAATCAACCTTGGTTTAAATGCTGTTTGAAATAAACTACAATTACAAATTATTTTAGTTATTTATTCTAAATAAATAAATAATGAAGAAAAACTAAACCGGTGGCGCTCGAGCGATGGTTGCACGCCAACGAGCTAGATCTAATTAGATTTGGTATCTACGGCCCTCGCTAGAGGTCACACAGCCTCAGTTGACCTCAAGTGATGGCCACTTAGGGTTGCGCAATCACAATGACCCCAAGCCAAGGTCGCATGACCCCGGCACGTTGACGCCCAGTCCCGCAATCCTTGTCCAACATCATGTGAGCCTAAGCGACCCTCGGCAAGTCTCGGCTACCTCCGATTCTCCATATCTCACGTTGACCCTCCAGATCTGGCCTGACCTTGGCGACCTTCCCTCAATGATTGTTTGCCCAACCTTGCTTTAGACAGAGAGACAAACGGACAGACGACGAACGGCAGAAGAGATGAACAATGTGCCATTTTGGGGTAAAAGAGATATACGAGAAATTGGTGAGGGCAAAACTGGAATAAAAAATTTAATTAATTATAGACTCCAACGTTTCCAACATTGTTGAATGCCCAATGTTGGTGGGTAATGGTCTTGAGATAAAGACCTTTGGATGAGTTTTTGGAAATATTTGAAAATGCAAGCATTTCCCAAATAGTTACTAAACAATTTAGCATTTGTCTAGTAGCCTTTAGAGGTCCAAAAGGTTTTGGAAATGTGTTGGAGCCTAAGCCTTTGGTGAGAGGGGTGGAGGGGTGTCGAATTATGCTCAATCCTCTTAACAATGTCTAGGGATGGCAGTTCAACTTCTCGATTCTTCTTAACTCAAGTATGTCATAATCAAAATTTAAGTTGCTAGAATGTAATAGGAATCCCGTATGTCATATTGAATGTCATATGTCCTTTCCAAAAAAACGATATTACATATTCGTGAACTCGTCAAATAGAAAAGTAAGAGAAAGTAACAATGATTAAGGCTGCGTAGACCGAGGAAAGTATAAAAAAAAGTCATAAAGTTATTATATTATACCGACTCAGTCCTAAACCTTTCAATTGGATCAATTTAATTCTAAATTCAATCCATCTAGTCAATTTTAGCTTGAAATTGCTGACACGGACGCCGGTCAGTGATGGCTTGGGCGAGGGCCTCGACCCTTGCCAGAAACCGGTGAGGGCTCGCAGGCCCTCATTGGCCACAATGAAAAAAATAATAAAATTCAAAATTTTAAAATTTTTTAAAAAATATTATAAAATATTATAAAATTCAAAATTTTGTCCACATTAGCTCTGGTTGTGACGTGTATCCATGTCAACTATTTCCGGCCAAAATTGATCAGATGGACTCAATTGATATCAATATAAAAATATTTAGGATTAAATTGTAATTTAAGGAACTTACGATTCGCCTTAAAAGAAGCATCTAACTGTAAAGCGAATAAGTCATGAATCGATTGATGTGAGTGATTTGAAAAGTTAATTATTTGTGCTTAAAGACATCATATGTAATAGCTCATACTGTTTAGCCACTCACCTAATGGGTAATGATTTCATTCTTTACTATCTACCTAGAAACAATTTAGGAAATGAAATTTTTGGTATTTACGAAAAGCGTGGGAACAATGCCAATGTTTAATTTGATTCTTTGGACTTTGGTTTTAGTCTATTTGATCCTTATATTCTTTGATGTGAATCGAATTGGCTCTTTAGCTGACATAGCAATCTAGCTGAACCATGATAACTACGTTAGATGATGTGGTCGTTTATGTGTAAAGCTACATCAGACTTAAAAATGCAAAGCAGGGGGAGGGGGTGGGGGAGGGGAGAGAGGTTTGATAAAATAATTGCGGCTCACATGTTATTACTAATGATAAAATAATTATTTAAATGCTAAAAACGTATTGGTTATGAAAAGTTGCAACTTTTAGGAAGACAAAATATTCAAATGTGTTTTGTCGGAATGCACTAATTGAAGGCACCTATTGATAACCTATATAAAGAGTCTAGTTCTCTCTCTACCCACGAATCCTATTGCCTCATCCTCATCTCAGGAGGCCTTGTCCTCATCCCAAGCCCCTCAATCATAGAATCCATAGGGAGGATCATTATTGCAGGACATGTATGATTATAGTGAGTTACAACTAGCACTCATCTTATGTCTTGACAAAATCAATCCGTCGCTACAAGTAGAAAACTTTCCTTAGCCGGCTATTCCATTATGTTCAATTGATATCACCTCAAGTTTTGCAGACGTTCCAGAGTCTTCACGAAAAAAACAAAAGTCTTCTGATCTTCATGAAGATGTGAGCCTAGAGTTCGCGGAAATTGAACGAATCCTCAGGAATTATAGGAGACAAAAGGACGGAGGTAGTTCGAACAGCTCTAATGATGACAACACTGATGAATCCATCCATAAATATGATCTCTGAAGCCTTACCAAGCGTGTTGAAAATATCAACTCGTCATGTTTGAAAAACTAGGCCAATTTTCGAGAAATCACTGTTCATGCATTGTTCATGTATTTGTTCATACACTGTTCGGCACTGAAGCAACACTATAGCAAGAAGAAAAACGTGCAGAAACGAAGAAAAACCGTCGTCTAAAAGTGTTTCAGTCGTCTGTCAGTTGGAAAAGTCTTTATTGTCACTTGTCAGAGTTTTCTTTGTCGTCTATCTGTTATAAAAGCCTTTATGCCAGGTCGGGGAGTGTAAAATTATTGGTGATTTCCAGAACTTCGCCAATAATTGATTGTTTGTAAAAATGTATGTATTCATGCCTATAAAAGGCCACGCCTGTAATATTGGCGAATAAAATCCGCTCCTCAAGAAATAAAACTTGTATGTATTATGAATCCTCAAATCTTCACTTCTACCTTTCTGCCTTGTATGATTCTCTAAACAAACGTACGTGCATTGATTAGTCCTGGTAGTATGCTCTGCACTTGCCACGGTATGAAACTTGTATATTAGAATTCTGCTACTATAAAGCAGTTCTAAGGTGCGAATCAAAATTTGAAGAGGGGCTTGGTGACTAAAAGGCAATCCCTTTTACAAAAGCTTGGAGAGCCATTTGTGTGTGGAATAGCATACCTAGTCATGACCACGGGCCGGTTTTGGCCCTGAACCGGCCCGGTCAAACACGGGCCCGGCCCGTTGACCGGGCCAGCGGTTCGGAACCGGAACCGGCCCGTGGCTTACGGGCCTGGTTCCAAATTATTTTTAAAAAATAATAATAATGAAATTTTAAAAAAAATCATTATTTAATTTTTTTTTATAAAACAATTTGAACTTTGATTGCCATGCATTGTAAGTGCATTGATCTCTAATTACAATACTTGACTTGGGTGTATTGAACTCTAATTCCAAGGCTTGGCTTGGGTTTTATACATAATGATTCTAATGCCTCTTCGTTCCCATTCGATGTGGGACTCTCGGCTTGCCTTGAACACCTTCAATGTGAGACTCTTGGCTTGTCTTCATGCAAATGCCAAGAGTCCCACATCGAATGTGAATGAAGAGATCATCAAAGGGGTTACGTATAAAACCCAAGCCAAGCCATAAGCATGTGAAGTTGTATGCCTTTTGTGGCTACGATTATTTGCTAGTTAAGAGCAAAGGGTTCCATTGGACTGCTTAGAACCGGACCGGGCCAATGGTTCGGTTCCCGGTTCTATGATTTGCCGGTTCGATTCCTAGTTCTAAAATTAAGGGACCGGTCTTACCGGTTTGGTTCCCGGTTCCGAGCAGAACCGGACCTAACCGGGAACCAATCACCCCTACAATTTACATTTTGATTACAATTTATATTGAATAATTCATTATTTCATAATTTTATAATTCATTATTTTTTTATTTCATAATTTATTTTTAAAATTTTTAAATTACGAATCGGAACCGGCTGATTCAAAACCGGAACCGACCGGTTCCGAACCGTGGCCATGACTTGTCACAAGCCTTGTCTTCGTCTTCCCTGATTTGCATCTTAGCACCTCTTTATTGGTATCAGAGCATTACCTAGATGTCCGCTAGCAACTCTGCATATAACCTCGGGGGGCTGCCCTCACCCTACAAGAGCTCTTTTGGGGCTGAGAACCTTACTTGGTATCAGAGCCAAGTAGCGGCCCCTGGCCGATGGGGGGAGTGGGTATGAAATCCTAACGTAGATCCCACATCGCCTAGATATCCGCTAGCAACTCTGCATATAACCTCGGGGGCTGCCCTATTATATCCTTCATTAGATAAAATACGTTAAGAAAAAATGAGTAAAGGAAGAAAAATCAGATCTCATTCGTTTCTCCTATATAAAGGTATAAGTATTCATCCTTCTTATCTTGAATAAATCATTAAAATTTAATATTCTTTGATATTGAATTTCCGCATAAATGATTATATTGTCGCTAACAAGATTGTCTCACTGGCGACATTCACCGGAGTCTCCACGAGGGCAATCAAACCTTGTTGGCGATGGGGTCAGCCGATTGTTACCAGATCCTAGAGTGGGCGCCACACCAAAGAGGGTTGCCAATCCTCACCGGCATGAGTGGGTCAAAAGGGTGGCGCCGCCCCCCCTCCCCCCTTTCTCTCTCGCTCTCTCCTCTCCCTCTCTCATTATACTTTGGGCTGCGCAGCCAAATTGGATTGCCATATCAGTTAACATAACCCAAATTTGATTCGGATCGAATAGCGTACTCTCTCTAGGATTATTTCGAACCATCGATCAAAAGTCCAGGATAGATTATAAAAATATCGAACGGAAAAGTTATGATTTGATGTCTTTTTTTTTTTTTGTTGCTATCAACCGTACCGAGACCTGCCCTTTTGACGGGGGAAGAAAGCTCAGCTGCCACGCCTGGTCCTGGCTTTTTAATGCGGGCGAGAGCGAAAGGAGAGAGTGCCATTTTCACCTTGCCTTGTCCTCTCTACCCTCCGATCTCCCTACTCCTGCCTCCTGAAACAAGCGCCATCGCTCGTGAAAGGAAAAACCCTATTTTTTCCACCTCTCTTCCCTCCCTTCCCTCCCTTCCTTCACCCCGTTTCCCCGTCGCTTTCGCTCCAGAAAGAACCCCGAAACAAGAATGCAAACCATGGTGAATCTCAACAGCTCCTTGGGCCTCCCTCTCTGCGTTTCCGGGATCACCCGGGCCGCCCTCTCTCTCTCCCAAGAGTACTCCCTCTCTCTCTCTCTCTCTCTCTCTCTCTCTCTCTCTTGCCCTCAATTTTCTTCGCGTTGTTTCGAGGGAAGCTCGTGTTTCCTCTTTTATTCCCTGAGGACTTTGGGGGTTTGATCCCGTTGCAGGATGGTGGATCACGATCGCCGGAGGAGGGCGATGAAGAGGATGCGGTCGCGGCCCAGCCGGGGATCGGGCGAGCCGGCCGGAGATCTCGCCGATCTACTGAGCGAGCTGGCTTTCGACAGCAGCAGCAGCAGCTTCGGCCCCTGTACAGCAAAAGCCGCTTAGGTCTCGAGATTTCGCTACCCCCCACCATTCCATTTCGTGGGTTCGCCACAGCCAGTGCGATCCCTGATCTCTTCTTCATCTCCTTCCTCCTTCCTCCTCTCCTCGTCTTCTTCTTCTTCTTTTACTTCCTTCGTTTCCAATTTTTAGGGGCCCTGTAAATCGCGCCATACATGAGATTAAGGGGTGTTGCAAAGTGCATTCTGGGTCGAAATCTGTGTTGGGTTTTTTCTTCTTCGATCCTGAGGAATGTTTGTTGGTGGTCTTTCGTTGGTTTGTTCATTCGTTTTGGTTGGGAGCTTTTGTCGTGTCTGATAATGTTGTCGATATTTAAGGAGATAAGTGTACAAAACTTGATTCGCTAAAAGGGAGTGCAGCAAGCAACCATCATGTATGGCTCGAAACCCGATGTAACATTTTTTTTTAATATTATTCCACGCATTCCCAATTATTCAACGTTAAATATATAATTAGGAAATTAGCCAACTTGAATATCCAATCGCCATTGTATTTATTTTTAAGCTTATGTTTTGTGAATCTCCAAACGGAAAATCTGTGGAGCTGAAATGATCCTAAAGCTCTAGAGGACCTGATAATTGCACAATAGTAGAAGTTAGGCTTGGAAAGGTGACTATTCCGGGTCCTAGGTTCTTTTGGAAAACATGAAGTGTAATTTCGTACACGACTTATCAAGTTTCGGTCGGGATTTCGAAACGAATTCCCTATAGGTGTTTGTACATGGGATCTCGAACCGGTTCCTACTTAAAAATTGATGCAATTTGGCCGGTGCACGATTGAATCGCCAACTACATACGATGCGGCCATTTGTGGCGTAGAAGATAATACTAATGCGGCGCTACATGGGGTGTTGCATCAGCTCTTGAGAAGACATAAAAAAAATAAAGATCAAGAGTAAATGGAGAAATCTTAGGTGAGGGTCACGCGACCCATGGCATCGATTATAGAAATATGTCCTCCTTCGAAGCCGGCAGAGCAAAGCATCACTGACTCTACGCATTCCTCTTTTTTCAGTTTTTTTTTTCGATGTGTTTTTTGCTAATTAAGGTTGATGGGGCGCCTAATCGCATAATGTCGGATCTTTAGAGACGGTGGGATGTTTTGTTGATTTCATGGTAAAATTGGTCGAATAATTGTCAAATCGCAAAAAATCATAGTATGTGTTTAGAGTAATTTATGCTTTCTTTGAGTTTACAAAATTTGATGCCTTTGTCCCTAGAACATACCCAACGAATTGACTATATTAGAAGTCAGGATTGTGTCGATGTGTTTAAGGTGAATTATCCTTTCTTATAGTTCATTCTTTTTCTTCCTGAATGGGATTTGAGCGTCGAACACTTGAAGTTTTTAACATATAAATATTACATTTTGAACAGTATTCATCAAATGTTTGAGTAATATTTCATTGAGGAATGTTAAGATTAAGTAATTATCTTTTGCAGGCAAGGGTAGTAAATAATTTTAAGTTGACCGAAACACACATTACATATGTAAAAGGATCTTATTTGATAATCTGGGTAGCGACCATCCGTGAAACTAGCTGTGAGGGTATTAATATTTGGTGTCACTTTACAATTTTTCAACCGGTGTATCATTGAGAAATCAATGTGATTAGATTACTTTGATAAGAAACCAGCAGTTAGGGTATTTGTTTATTTCACTGAAAACTTCATGACAAAGGAAAATATTTACCATGAAAATCATTTTCAAGAAAAATTGTTAATTTTCATTTATTTTGTGACTTAAGAAAAGTGATTTCCTTCTTGTCAGAAAGGGAAGTTGTTTTCCCCCGATCTAAACTTGCTGAAACGTTTTTCCGTAGATCGATTAGTGTTCTACCATCCAAACGTCCCAAAGTCATAAAATAATTTCCCGAAAATAGTTTTCCTTCAAATAAATAGAGTCTTAATGATTTACGCAGATGAACCAATCAATGACAACAAACTCTAAAATATGGCTTGTAGTGGCCCTAGTGGGGGCAGGGAAAGGTGACAGAGGTTGGGCAAGATGTGGTATCGCTGCTTTCTCAAATGCAGATCCAAAGTTGCTCGAGCTCTCTACTTTGCGATGCTCGGCATATCTCATTTTGGATGGTATTTACCATCCACACCCAACTTCATTTGTGGAACTTCTACCTATACACCCAGAAATCAGGTCTCATTTGGTATCTGAGTCGATTCGATTCGGCTTAAAATCATAAAGACCCGGCGCACATAATTTATGCTACTCGATTCGGCTTAGAATCATGGTAGAATTACACTTTGAGGCCAGACATTCCCAGTAGAAATGTTCTGCTTCTATCTGAATTACCGTGGTATAGTTCCCAAGTTGGCAAAAATCTGAGAACTTGACACAATAAGCTATCTCCTCCTTTGCAGCTTTAAATTGGTTCTGAGCTCTCACAGACAACTCGCCCCTTCCCGACCCCTGATCTATGAATCATCCTCTTCACAGACTGAAGATTCACACTCCCATAGGTCGCACTTCCTAGTCGCTAGGAAACCCAAGAAGAAAAAAAATTTCAAGCTCCATTGTTTTCTTTCACTAAGGCAAATGTCTGGATGAAATGACATGCAAGGAAGAAAGGATTTGAACAACCACTAGAGAAGCGATAGGTAAAAGAAAAGCATAAACATATTCATTACCCTGCCCTTGAAATATCGCGGTTAGGATAAATCATTACCGGCAATCAATCAAACAATTTCCTTTCGTACGCACTTGCAAATTTTTCATCCTCGTAATTCTTCTCTATGTTATGAGTTACAGACTGCAAGATCACGAACACTTAAAATACCATACTTCCGGATACCTTACTTCTGGAAGCCGAGGCCAATGCAGCTTCTCTGAACAGGCTAATAATCCCAGATACATCGCATGAAGGCACTCTCACTTGCTTTATCTGTGAAACACATGTTAATTCCTTAGAAAAAGGAAAAAACCGCACGTCGGCTCTAAGAGGACCAAAATTTTAAGTTGCAACAGTAGCTATTCTTCACTGGAGCTGACAGTCTTGAAATGTCTGAAGCTTTCGCAACCGGGGCAGTTATGCAAACTTTCGTGAATATAAATATCACAGTCGATGCAGAAATACTGTTTACATTTCGGGCATTCAACAGATAGGCTGGGTCTATTTCCTGACCAGAAGCAGCATACATACAGAACATAAGATCTACGATTAGACAAGACTAGTTCCATGTCTAAAGACATCAAAGAATAAGAAAAAAGAGTCGAGAACATTTCCAGATCATGAACCAACATAAAACATGCTTGCATACAACCAACCATTGTGTTTAGTGAAACTTGATCAGATTCATCGTTCATGACGATCAAATCTCAAGGCATAAGCTGGTAGTATCACATGATTGCAGGAAAACAGATCTTAGGTTGAACAAAATAAAATAGCATATGGCCCCTCAGATACGATCAAAGAAAAATAACCCCTATGTATGTTCTAGGAGAGTAGCTGTCTAAAGAGAACAGGCCAGTGCCTAATGTGACAAAATAGCGGAAACCCTTTCCATGTCTTTCATCATTATGCCGTACTAACATGCTAGCTGACACGTGCATATAAGCATGCCTTCTCTTCCTGCCCTATGCAACCAGATAAGTACGCCTGGGACATACTTATAATCCCCAGGCAATCCAATCAATCTGTTCCTCATCACGTAGATCTTAATCTTTTGACACAAATTTGAGGAACTCCTCTTAACCAAGTGAAATAGTGCAGTAGAGCGACAAATGTCTTCATCAAATATAAAATACTTTCATGCTATGCTATTCCATGTTGCATTGATTAAGACCTTCTCTAGCTCTAACAAACCTCAATAAAAGGAATCTTTGAAGCAGAAAAAAGTACAAACTCTTTTTCATTCACACCTTCCACATATAGTCCACAGGTGTCAGAGTTTGCTCAATTACACACATCAATATTACGTACGGAAGGAAAATGCACCTCAACATCAAAACCTCGGTCAATCACTCTCCCGAAGAAATAACTACAGCGCCATTTTTTCTGTCCCCCAGTATGAGATATTGTTGAGGTCCACGGTGGACAGGCATCATGAAGGTGAAAGTAAATTATCTTACTTTTGTCGCACCAACCTCAGGTCATGAATATCTTTGCAAGTCTAAACAGCTTTCCTTGATATCAATTCAATCAGAATAAAAAGTAAAAGCAGACACCCTACAAAATACGCCTCAACCCTATGATGAGAGAAGAGCACCAGAGCAGGACCCCAACAACTATTAAAATACTGTGCTGGTATAGAGGGAGTTAATGTGATCCAACAACTATTAAAATACTGTGCTGGTATAGAGGGAGTCAACGTGATCCCATGCTTATTAAATTAAATATGCACGTAATCAGGATTGTAATGGTCATGAGATTACTAACCAGGATTGAGAAGACTTTGTCGACATCCAAAGCAAGATTTGGGTAGCTTGTGCTGAGAAGTACTGAGTCGTACGGGAGTAACCTCGTCAAAAGTTGCAATAGGAAACAGATGATGATACGACCTTGCCAAATGGGGAGAAGAAACAAGGGTGAGCCCACAGATACGACATTCAGTAGGTAGTTCACACACTCTTGCTTTGCATCTTGGACAAGTGTATCCTCCACCCCTAGCCTCTTTATGGCATAAACAAATTGAGATTACATTTTCCGCTGCTCTTTGGGGGAAACCCATCTTGATCAAATTAGCAATTGCAAACTCTGCTATTGCAGGAGGAGGGGGTGCATGCTCCAGGATCAACTCCTTTAAATGAGACTGCATGAGCAAATAAAGATGAAATGTCCTGTGTAAGTATCCATCTATATTTTTCATCAGACAACTGAACTAATAGATGGGATTTACAATTTACGAGCAATGCATCCAAGAAAGCATTGCATCTCATATAGAAAAACTTCATGATTTAAATAATTAAACATCCCACGCACAAAAATAGAACACCAATAAATCTCCCACTTTCTTGTCTATTATGTCTCTTGTTCTAGAATGATTAGCCTAGCGCTGTGGAATCAGTTAGCATGAAGAAATACTTGGATTAACTTACCTCATCTACGGCAACGGAGTACAGTCCCCCGGTTTCTTGGCAAATGTGTTTGCATATGAAAATTTCAGCAGAGAGACCAATAACAGAACACCTGACTTTTGACTTTTTGCATTTCTGAATGGTCTCCATAATATCTCCAGGGTCACAAGTGCTTAGAGCTGAATTCAATATCAGAACTTCCCGATGACCATATGATGGAATCTGTTCCAGGTATCCACAAACAAGATCTAAAGCATTCTGCAACGAGGAATCACCGAAGCACTCCAATTTGCACATCAGAGCCTTTATATGGGATTCAGGACTTCCACCAAGATCTGTCAAGCAATTAGCAACCCCATCTTTTATGGTAACTAAAGCTATTTGACTGAGCGGATTCTGGTCGAAGAATTCCCGGATAAAAGCCTCGACATGCTTTGCAACGACGGCCATCCGGCTCGGTCGAAAATCCGTCTCTGAGGCAGCCTATACAAAATCCAAGACTCATCACTATTAAAGAAAATCACAAAACACGGACAACAAAACAAAATTCAATGACCCGAAGCCATCTACGGCATAAAGGAAGGCATTTTAGCACTCCTCAGCTTTCCCACCCATGTAGAGCAGCAACCAAAAGCCTGATTTTTTGTTGCAAAATCTAAGAATGGCAGCTACATATCAAAGGCAATCGTTTCTTTCTTAGATCAATCAACAAGTCCTAATTCACTATGGGAATGCACTGCCATGAATAAGAAAGATTCAGTTTCCTTTACAAATTCGATACTGGCAATTAAATGTTGCACTGCAATGCTCTTCAGCCAAAAGCCAAAATTTCGTCATCATATAAACGGCCCTCGGAGAAGCGCAAAATCCATTACCCTGGAGAGGTCGATGACGATGTAGAGATACCGGATCAGGCCCTTCTGAATCCGAGCAGCCGCGTTAGTCGCGGCGAGGGAGCGGAGGCGCCTCCGGTACTGAGCATGGTAGAGGGCCTTGTTATCGATCGGGCGGAGCAACCCGGACTCGTCCTCCTGCAGGGACTCCCAGGACCTCTCGTCGGCGTAGGTCCGCTCCCACGCCTCGCGGCCTCCGTCATCGACGTCGTCCTCGTCGTCCTCCTCCTCCGCCTGCCCGCTCAGTCGCCTCCCCTCGCCGTTGTTCATGCCGCCGCCCGCCGCCCGCAAAAACGGTGATGGGGAACGCGCTCCCTTATCTCGATCGCCGGAATCGCCGGGAGACGGGTCCGATCGAATGCGTATCAAGATCAAGACCAAGACGGTGATGCGTGTAGAAGCATTCGAGGTGCTCGACGTATTGCTCCGTTCATATGGATGTCATCTCCAGGACCTTCAAGCTGCTCATGGACGCATGCAGCAGTGGAAACTGAGGTACCGAGAGAGAGAGAGCGTTATTTGTGACAATCGAAGCCCTAATTGCGAAAATCAGGAGTTTTAAGAAGCTATATGGGTATAAAAAATATATATATTATCAAATTCCTAATTCAAAATACTTTATCAGATTTATGTTTTAAGACGCTACGGTTTTACAATATGTATTGCCATGTTCATATAAATCGCGATACCTTAGACACGATGCTGTACTCTGATTATGAATTAGATGATAATGAAATGCACTAACTTGCACTAACTTTTTATGCGATATGAGGAGATGATTTGTGCCAAACTCGACTAACTTGAAATCGACACGTTTAACCAAGTCTTCCCGGAAAATAATTCAGTATCTTATCGGGGCCATATACTGTCTTGATAATGGCATAAAATAAAGTGAGTACCCGACAATAAATGATGGCGCGGACCGAGCCGTAAGCGCTAAGTTAATAAAAATTATACGGTTGAGATACCATAAAGGTATGTAGGACCAGAACATTGATGTAATACTGACATCGTGTTCAAGAAAACACTGCCCAAAAGTTTTGATAACTAATGAAGGTTTCGAAGTTCTAACCAAAGCAGCGAGGAAACATCGCCCGAAAGTTAGACCGAGTTGTTAGCATCCTAAATTACAATACCCTACAGCGGGAGGTAATCCAATTAGCAATTGATGGACTCTCCTGGGAGGAAACGTCTAAGGACAACTGCCGATACCGTCGGACCTAAACTGCAAATGTGGTGGCTCTTTCACAACAATCGATTTCTGAAGGCCGGCGAGCTCTGACTCGGATGTGTGATCCTGGCATGATGCCGATGCGTTTGCAGACCTGTTTCTCTGCTGGTTCCCAAAACAAGGTCTCAGTTCTCATTATCCGTGTCGAAAACAGGGAGAAGGCGCAGGGCCGACGAACGCAGATGCATGCCACGGACTATGCCTCCATACCCGACATTTATCCGGTGGCATAGGAGCAAGATAGAATCCCACATTGCGGTCCTTCCCTGCAAAATAAAAGCCAACAGTGTCCCTTCATACATCATGTGAGGGAGGAGTAATTACATATGCAGAAAGTTTTCACGCCATGCGCTAGGATTTATGCCATTTACAGGATTCAGCAGGCTTACAAACACATTGGTGGATTGGGCGTGCAAAACCTAGTCTCTATGAATGTATCAACTCAGCCCAATAGTCAAGAGTAAGGCTCCCCTCTTTCATTAGTGGCACCACAAATCACGCATTGGCACGACGAGATCAGTGAGTGCTTGTAATTTGTCTTCCCAAAGCATCCAGTGCTTTTACACCAGTCATTATTTAGAAACTCATCCTACGGTGTGCTTTGCCTTTTGTTTCAGTCATACTCCAGAAAATCCTAGCAATAAATGTTGCATTACATTTACCCAAGATAGTCGAACCTTCTGGATATTTAAATTGCAGACCAAGATATCTTGAGCTTACCTGAAGAGAGAATTGCAGCTTCTTATCCCAATACAAGGCAAACACAGGAGGACTTTGTTTTCCTACAACCAGGATACAAGCTCCTGGGTGAAGAACAGAAGGGACAGCCGATACGGCAGCAACATACTTCTCTGGAAACCTCTCTTTTGGAGGTAAAACTCCCAAAAACAGGGGATTCTTGCTGGACTGCGCTCCAGTGTAGGATGTGGGATCGACATGTAGCATCCACTTCGGGTGCTCCAAGAATGCACAGAATAGATACAAGAGCAGATGAGAATCGGTGGGGACATCAGTAGTCCATTTCGTTTTCATCTGATCATAAACCTCTCCGCTTCCGAGAAAATCATAGTTCTTCACACAGGTTCCCACAGCGAGCTCTGTTCAAGAGAGAAAGACATCGAGTCTAAGCAATAAAGTCCAGGATCTGGCCATTAAAAGGGAAAAACATACTCTCCTTCTCATCAAGCAGAATCCATGAAAGGCAATATACCTTTGGAAAAAAAACTGCATACCTCGTATTCTCTGTACCACGTAATCCGCACGAACACTGCTCTGGGGTAGCAGACCTTTAATCAATTCTCCCTTTAGCAGCGCCTGAAGCCTCTGATGCTCAGTGATGGCATCGACACACTCCTGCATCAGAGGAATCATCGGATTTTGCAGAGGTTGTTGCAAATTGGCTATAGGCTGCTTTGCTGCGTAAACCATGCAAAAAAATAAATAAATAAACAAATAAAGCTAGTACAAACAGATGGATTTAGCCATTTTAACTAACACAACAAACCGCATGTCATTCTCTCACCCACAAAAAAATGTAATGCAGAAATCAATGATACAATAAGTACAGAACATAATGAGCCACCCTAGTGATTTGGCTTCACTGCACTTTCTTAAACAACAGAAAGGAAGAGAAAGTAAGAACCCAGCTTCAATTTTTCTCCAAAAATAAAACATAGGAGAAAGAAGAATAATTATTTTATAATTTGGTGAGAGACAGGTAACAGTCAGGGCTTTTTTAATGCACTAACCTTACATGGTAACACTCAGGAGCTTGTGTTCACAGAAATGTATAAAAGCAACTAGGGCGATACTTACGAATGGCAGCATCAAGAGCCTGAACAAGAGTAGCACGTAACTGGTGAAGAAGTCCATCTTCATCCAGAGTATATGCAGGTAACCATTCTTTACTCCTGTCAATCTGAGAGACTGTAGAAGTCCCAGATGCACGTACTTCTCCCACTTGACTAACTGTGATCGAAACTCCGAGCTTCGCTGCACCTTCCATCACCTAAAATCAGCATCAACAAAATCAGCATAGCTAAAGCTATGTCTAAAGGATGGCTAGGCTAGGTAAATTTTTTCCCCTGATTCAGGATTTGTCTCGGTTTGTTCCCCAAAGTGAATAAATTCTTAGCCTATGCTTAAAATGTTACAGACAGTAGAAAAATAGTAAGAAATTTTGCCAGTTGACCGCTCATGACTTCATTGCCATTTCAGAAGGCAATATCGTCGTCATGGAGTGGTCTATTCATCCTAATGTGATCTGACCTTAAATTCCAATAACATTCTGAAGATTAATGCAAGTATTTTGTGGATGATCGAGTGATTAAATGGGATTGTAAAATAATCTTGAGGATTATTTGTTTAGGCGGGGATGAGTGGGCACCATGAGTTTTGGCACCTAACTCTAGCCATTACATTGTGATTGGTAGTGAAATTTTGGGATAACTGAAAACAGTCTGTTATATCTAGAGTGAACCAGGAAAATTGTAAGAATGTATAAAGTGATTGCACGCCCAACAATGATAAACATTATGCCATTAAGAAGTGAAGTGGTATCAATTACTTTCTATTTTCATACATTTTGCCTGGTGGATATCTATTATTATTCGTTTCATTTTGTTCAAAGCAATCTGAAGAGGTCAAACTCAACCAAAAAGACCACTACAATCTCCGCAGCCAGATATGAACCGTTAAACATACCATGTGATACCTAGTAAAGCTCACCAACACAATTCCAAAGACCCCAATCCAATCACACATGTTACAAGAGCACCTTGTTGGTATTTGGAATCTCCCAAATTTAATTGTCGTCGAAAATGTACATCACTTACTCATTGCCAACATAAACTGAAAGGTCATCTGTTTTGGTACATATATGGACAATCTTAATGCTACATATACAACATGTAAGCATAGACAAAACATCCATTATACTTGAATTGCAGTGAACCACCTTTTCACTTGAAATTGCAGTGAACCATCTTTTCATTCAAATGGACACTGAAGTTTCTTTATGGTCGCAAGGTGATGACTCATAAGCTTTAAATAAAATAAACAATCAGAATACTTCTTGATATAAGTTTTAGCAAAATGGGGTGTAAGGATGACAGACCTGAATGTGACTGCTTTCGATCTTTTTAAGCAGAGGGATGAGCAAAACTGAAGAAAACCACTGCCTGAGACGGTCACGCCACAGCTCAATTTCAGGGTAAATACCGAGATGTTCAAAAGCTTCAACTGCCTCTTCCAATGACATTGGTGGAGGAAGGTCACCCTCTCCTTTCTTGGGAGGTGTGCTGAACTTTTGGGAGCCAGGAGACATCCTCACCGGCCTCAGAGGAGTGCTCCTTGTAGTTCCAGAATTATTAGCCGAACTGACTACAGTGTTTGGACTTGCTATGCCAAAACCCTTGATCGTAGGAGGTGGAGTCGCCAGTTTCCCAGCTGATTCAGTGATCTTCCCATCAACTTCTGCCAAAAACTGTTCAAGTTTCTCTTCTGATGTGATATCCTTCATAGGTGATGCTCGACTACTCAACCATGGGCTTGAGACAACAGAATCAGGACCAGGTGAATGTTGAGAGGAAGGTAGTGGTGAGACAGCTCCAGGCACAAGATATAAAGAAGAAGAACCTGGCGATTTGGATGGGGTGCCGACTGGTCTACCCTTACTTCCTCCACTGGAATTCAATTTATCGGTGCTAATTCGAGATGAACGATTTGAACTGGTGATAGTTTGATGAAGTGGGACGAGAAGCTCCGAACTAGGTGTTAAATGGGCTTTGGATTTAGGAGGCTTCTTCGATGGTTCAGACACAACCTGATTGGCCTTCGGCTTTAACCCCAAAAGTGCTAACTGGCGTGTTGAAAGAGTAGGTTGATCCTTGGTTCCAACAGAGGGAGATAATAATGGCACTCCTCTATTTTTTGATGTATGCAGAGATATTGCTTTAAAGAGCGCGAGCAGAGCCCCCAGAAAAAGGAAAGCCACAGCAGTCTGCAGGATCTTGGCAAGAAAATCTGGAGGGGGGAAAAACAGTATTTATCCAAAATCACCAACAAATCAGCATGTGAAACACATATAAGACAAAAAGGCTGAAACAGAATGACTTACAAGCTGTCTCCTCCGACATATTTTTTAGCTTCAGATAGTCAATAAACCCATCCTCCCTTCACAAATTCAAGGAAGTAACTTGTCAGCTGCTGAAATTGAAAGGAGAACGATGGCTACTGAAATTGGACATAAATGGACATTTCTTGATGGGGATAAAGAATCAAATTTTAATAGTAAAATGCACTTCTCTGGTTGGCAATCAAACAAAAAGCTCAAAATAAAATGGGATTTCATGACAGTTCATTCTGTCAAATCATTGCATTGCCCTTGGACCAACCAGATTCGGCCTTACGCAAGGAATGAAATTGAGTATGGTTATGGTGGATCCCAGGGAGACGGGCAAATGCAAAAGCACTGGATCCCAGGTGTTTCATTCGCAGCAGTCCCCAGTCCGAAGAGAGAGAAACTCAATGTCTTGATTGCTGAAGGACACAAGTGCCAGTCAGGGTGGTGTAAGCTAGAGACATCGTCAGTCATATTTCTACTTCATTTCGCACTTTTCTCACGTTGACAATCATTCTGTTGGATCGGGTTCAATACCCTCCATTGAGTAAGAGAAAGAAATCAGCTTCATAATGCCCCAATTATTGGCAAGGCAGTTCTATCTGCACCGGGATTCACCTTTCCCCAATCAAAGCATAAACTCATACTCTTCGATAGCTTCAATACTTACAGAGGCACGCATAATGTCACTGCAAAGAGTAACCATTAGATCGTAATGCCCATTAGTTCCGAATCCTGGAGCTAAGCTCCTCTAAAACCCCCGCTCGAAAACCCTAAACAGTCCCAAAAATCCATCATTTCTCTCAGCTAAGTGCAGACGAAGCCACAGCAAATTTTAAGCACCAAAGAAATCAATCGAACCGCAGCGACATAGCAGATCAGCGTCATTGAGGTACCCCATTGCAACGATCAAAACGTGACCAACTCGAGAACACAACAGGACGCGATTCCCAGTCGCAAATGCAAGAACGCGCAGGGCTCACGAGACCATTCATTAGCCACCCCTGGCTTCCGTAATCCAGATTACAAAAAGCAGGACCTAGACCGCAAACGCCGCTGCCGTGCGCGCGTACCTGGCAGAGAAGGAGAGGAAGGCGAAGGCGGTGGCGGAGGAGAAGAAGAAGGTGGAGAGGAGGGCGAGCTTCGAGGGCACGAGACTGTTGGCGGCGAGAGCGGCCGCCAAGGCCGGGTTCCGGTACACCGCGAACTTGCCCGGCTTCGCCGTCGCCTGCGGAGGCGATGCTTTGGCTCGGCCACCTCCGTCCATCTTCTGAGCCCGGGCGAGCGAGCGAGCGAGCGAGAGAGAGAGAGAGAGAAGGGCCTCGTTTGTGTTAAGTCATCGATGCCGATACGATGTTCTCGTCGTCGCCGCCGTCGCCGCCGTCGTCGGTCGAGCGCTCTGGTCGGAGAGCTCGGAAGCAGCAGCAGCTCCTAAAAGTCGGATTCAAAATGGAGCTCCGCTTTTCTTTTTCAATTTTTTTTTCTTTTTACGGAGCTTCTGACAAAAAAAAGAACCAATTAAGAACAAAAGCCCCAAGTGGAGTTTTTCCATTTTCCTTCTCTTTTTAATTCCTGTCCGAACTTTTCTTTTCTTTTGCAAATAAAAAAAATAATCTCGTTTAGTTATTACCCGTCCATCGCTCCACAAATGAAAAAACTACCGAGGTAATGATATATATATAACGACACAAATAATTTGTTAATTTTGTCCGATGTGTAATGCGGTTCTTGAATTTTCAATTTGTTTGATGTGATCCATAAATTTTTGGCATTAACATGTTCAATATTGACCATTTTCATATAGTTCAGGATTAGGTTGAACATGAACCAAAAATCTAGAAACTGCGTTAAACAAATTAAAAGTTCATGGACCAAAGTTCAGAGACTAATTGTGTCATTTTCATAACTTAAGATGGTAACGATATTTATTTATTTATTTTTATCAAAAATAATTTATTACATAGCACATAATAGTCGTGCACAATTTAGATTCCTAAATAATCCGCGCGCAATAATTTCTAACATGAGCAATATATTTTTTCTCCTTTTTGTTTTTGGGAGTTAACATAAATAAAGTACAGAGATTATGTTTGCTATTTTTTTCTTTTGGATGTAATCCTTTTCTCATCTCTATAATCTGAATTTTGTTCTCGTGATTTAATTTGCACCTTAGATGAATAAAATCGGACCCAATGATGATCTTATCATCAAGATGGACTCAAATGTTATTATTAAACTTAACAACAAATAGACCATGATGGATGACATTAAAAATATGCTAAAAGACATTAAAAAAATTGCTGAGCTCTCATTTTGAGTTTAAAAGTACAACATAATTTCCGGAAAATATATCATCCTTGCCGATTGACTTGTCAATCTTGGAATAAAGAAGGGCTTAGGCACTACGTTATACCCACTTCGTCCTGCAGAATTGATTCATGTTTTGTTAAGTGATAGAGTAAGGATAATAGATTTTAGACGTTGATTTGTATTCTGTTTACTTTTATTTACCAAATAAAATAAAAAAAGCATACCCAATGAAAGATATCAACTATAATGTTTAGGCTATGCAAAACCCTAGTCGTGATATTATTCATGATTCTTCAATGAAGGGCCTGCCAGTTTCAGTTCACGGCATAGAGAATGCTCGCACTGCATCAAACCGGGTGTATCCCAGAGACATCTGAAGTCTGAATTGACTGTGGATAAACTACGTTGTGCCATAGTTCACTTCACTTGCACTGGCATCTCATGTTTCAGAGATCTCATCGTCGTTCGAAAGTTCCGGCACGAAACTAACATATATATATCGAGTCCCTGACAAAACCCGAAAAGCAAAAGATTGCTTAAATCGAAGCCAAATACACAAACGACCGACGGACTAGATGCTGTTGCAATCTCAAGACCGATTTGCTTATTCCCCTTTCGAGTCGATGAGCTCGTCCTTTGCATCCTGCTGTTCTCGATCCTCATGGTTGCTTCCGGTGCTCAGCCTCGCACTCGCTTTCCCACTATCCGGATTTCGGGGACCCGAATTGGGTTCATCCTTCAGGATTCCACCATAGCCGAGAGACAAGTTTCTCCACTCGGCTTCTTCCGATAAGTGCAGGTGCCGAGCCAGATACCGCTTCAGCTCGATGCGCAGGCTCCGGATGGGCTGACGATGCAGAGCACAAAGGAAACAACTAAATCAGAAACCAATGAAGAGGGCACGAACATGAAGGAACCAAAATTATGACAGATTCAAATTCACATTTAGGGTATGCTTTAAATCGCAAGCTATTAGACCGAATACTATATACTTGTCCAGAAATTTTGAATCTCAAGCAACCATCTACTGCAAGCACAAATTGAATCATCGCAGTGAACTTTTAGCGGAATGAAACCTAAATGTTGCCTCTCTACAGATAAGCGAAACTTCATGACTTGCCTTCATCAGTAGAGACGATTTACCATCAATTGCAGATTTTAACAAATCAGAAGTTCTTCATAAGTTGTTTGTACATGATTGCTATCAGCTAACGAGACTCGTTTTCTATTGCTGCTATACCCAATAATTGAAGTGCATAGGAATGATCTATAAAGCCAATGTCTATTCATCTTTTTTCTTCTTTTCAAGAATTCTCGGGTCATGCATAAATTATAGAGTTCTTCTTCATAAACAATACGTACCTCAGCCTTGCATTCCAGAGCCATCCGAAAGAAATTCGCCGAGACGAAATGCTTCCCGACGGGCTCCGCCAGCTTGATCTGGCCGAGCCAGTACGACGCGGACTCCAGCCTATCGAATCTGCACTTGCTGCAGTTCTCGGCCGTGTGATAGGGCGTCCCGGACCTTCTCGGCTTCGCCACAGAAGCCAAGGGCGCCTGGACCGGGGTCCGAGGCCCGACCGCACTCTCATCGCCCCAATTCCTGGGCAATTTCTCTTCGAAGCAAACGCTCTTCTTCTTCGGTTTAGGGTTCGCTCTCCCGGGAGATGTTTTCTCCGCAGGTGCATCGCCCAAATTCTTAGGCGATTTCTCTTCAAAGCAAACGCTCTTCTTCTTCGGCTTAGAATCCGCTCCCTCGGGAGGTGTTTTCTCCGCCGGCGCATCGCCCAGATTCTTAGGCGATTCCTCTTCGAAGCAAACGCTCTTCTCCTTCGGCTTAGTCTCCGTTCTTTCCAGAGATGTTTTCTCCGCAGCAGCTGTCGCTAGAGCAGCACCGGCGGCTAATGGGCTTTTCGGCGCCAACTGGGCCAGTTTCCGGTGAACCCCGGTCGCGGATTTCGCAGCGGGTTTCTCCGTCGCCGGCTTCGCCAGAACGTTGGTGCACCGCGACGTACCGAACACGCGCTTCTGCCTGAAAAAAGACAAAAAAAGAAAAAAAAAACAGAGGGTCCTCAACAGGGGGATAAAACTTCCCAAGAAACAAAGTCGGATTACGACGTCGAGAGAGCCGCGGCGAGGAATTCCCACCTGGAAACCGGAGGATCTCTGGCGGCGACGGCCCTCGACGGTGCGTTCGTTTTCCTGCCAGCTTTTTCTCTCGGCGGCTGAGACTTCCCTGCTTTGCACACGGCAAGAAGACCAACGTAACCGAAGAGGAAGAGAGAAGCAAGACGTGGCGGACGAAGAACGAAGAGTGTGGTCTAGGCGGGAGGCAACCGAGAGGGCGTACCTGGAACCTGCGCGGGCTGAAGATCCATGGCGGAGGAGCGGCCAAAAGGGTTGTCACAGAGAGAGAGAGAGAGAGAGAGAGAGAGAGAGAGAGAGAGAGAGAGAGAGAGAGAGAGAGAGAGATGGAGATGGAGATGGAGATGGAGATGGAGATGGATGGAGGAGGAGGAGGAGGAGGAGGGAGTGGGTTGCCGGTGGTGCTTTGAAATTGAAATTTTGGGTGAAAAATGGCGGAAACAGGTTCTTCGCGCTCCTGCGGGCCCCGGCCCAGTAACGGTCTAAAAAGTGGGGCTTGGGTTTGGTGAGAGGATTGCGCGCTCCTTTGGGCTAAATACAAAGTTTTTCAATTTTCGCATTTCTCGAAATCATAAATTAACATGTAACTTCATCGTTTTCTTTTTTGTTGTTGTTGTTATTGTTGTGGTGGTGTTTTGGGTCTCTTGCTTATTATGTGGATTGGTGGAGGACAAATTGTTCCGAATTAGATTTTCCTTCCATGACTAATGTTTTCTTTCTTTTCCATTTAGGCCGTGTTTGTTCCCGGTAAAACTTTTTGCACTGGTGTTTGGGGCGTGGAAAATGAGTGGTCCGAGAAAACATTTTCCAATCGATTAGGGAAAAATGATTTCTTTTATTTTCCCCCCATCTTTCTCATTTATTCGTCTCGTTCTCCAGAACTATCTTTTCTGCTGCACCGGCCCGTCCATCGACTCAACCCCACTCTCTCCACGAATGCACCAACTCCACCTCCTTCACCGACTCGCCCTCCTTTCGAACAACTCGATTCACTCTCGGGCAAACTAGACATCCTATCTCGAGCCCTCATCCTTAGCATGGACATCTAAGCTTAATGCCCTATCTAATTATGCTATCTCGGCGGCACCCATGCTCCGCGACAGGGTTGTGTTCTTCACCTATTATGATAATATTCTTTCACGCATGAATTTCTATATATCTTATATTGAAAAGTTCGACGTGTAATGATAAATTCATTGACGAAATCTATTTTGAATATGTTCTATTTTGGAAACTTTTTTCAGCTTTTGATTGTAATTGGAAATATAATAGTTTCGATGGTTATTCATAGAATTAATTTCATACGGATATTTTTTTATCTAGATAATACCTACCCTAAAAATTTATAAATAGTTTTTAATCACGATGTTTTTGGAATGGAAGATTTTTTTTTTTTGGAAAAAATCTTTCTTTTTATTTTCTATAATGTCGGTCCATCCGAAATCGAAAAGATGAAAAGGGCCCGGCAACCGGCCCATCCATTTCAGGCCAAGGAATTTCGAGTAGGGCCGGGCTTTCAAGTTTTTGGTTTTTTGCCATTTCCGCATCATTTTAAAAGGAGGCCTAATTTTCTAAAAAATTATCAACTTTAGGTCCAATCTCAATTCTTCCCCGAGCTTTTCTTTATCTAACTAAAGTCCCCAACTTTCAATCCAATTCAAAATCTACTCATGCGTCCAAATATCGCCACTAGTTTCCTTCAAGATTATCAACATTAGGATCAATTAGAGGCTCATTATCAGAACCCGTGTCTTCATCAAAACCCTGTAAAACCTATATATAGGTTCATGTTGATAATATTGATGAAATCAATGGTGATTATTAGAAATGTGGACAGATTTGGAATTATAGTGAGAGTTGAAAATTTTTTTGAGACAACAAAGCAGAATTTAAATTAGACATAGTTCGGGGTTTTTAGGGAATTAGTCCTATAAAAGGAGCTATATAAATGGGGTAAAGTTTAGTGGTGAACCAGCTTTATTCTAAACAAAAATATGAAGTATATGATAGAAGAGATTCGAGAAGAAGAGACAGGATTTTCAAAAATTGATGGTTTGTATAGATAGACGGAGGGAGATGAGAGGAAATGACGATGATGGATTTATTTCTTCACTCGAGATTAGTCTCATGGAATTTTTCAATTCATCTTACTCCGTTCGCATACGAATGCAAAATACACGTATTTCTCTTTTCTCATTTATGTCCTTATTTTTTTTTTCATCTATACTTCTATGTACATAAAAGGTACTTAGGTCATTGTAAATTTTCGTGCTTACTTTTTTTCTCTTCTTAGTATCGAAATTACATGGTAATGTAATCCCTGCATCTCTCCCTACTAAAAACACAAGGAGATGGTTTTTTTTTTTCTAACTAAAGTAATGATGTTGCTCTTAAATGTGCTATCGAATATGTAAAAGCAACTTACTACTTCGACTTATGACTTAAGTCTCTGAAAATTTTCAAATTTTTTTTACAGGTTTCGCACTAAAAATAGAACACAGTAAAGCCTAAATCGGCCTTTCTGTTATAACATGGAATATACAATGAAACACCAATTGAATTGGGGCCAATTTTTTTTTTTTTTGGCCAGACACTTTTGCATTCAATTGACTTCAACGACTTGGGTAGATTTAGTAGGGGTGATCCCACCCAGAATGTGGAACCGGATCGAGCAGAATCAGTTCCTAATTTGTGGACTAGGACCAGGCCCACCCGGTCTTGGAACAGGTCCGCTTTGGTTCTAGGGTCGGTCTCGGAACCGATGATTCTTTTTTCTTTCTTTTTTGGTTTATTCTATTCTCTACAAGTGGGAGTTTCTCAACAATAAAAGTAAAAAATAATTCACTAATTAGGGTTCGCTTCATAATAAAAAATAAAAATAAAAAAGAAATTTTGGCCGATTTGTGAGTCCGATTCCTTATGTAGAACTGAGAACCAGACCAGTTGGATTTGAAAGGGGGACTGGGTTCTGTTCGGGTATGCCGTCGCGCTCTCTAATTAAGCCTTTAGGTGTTCGGTTGCATCGTTTCGCCTAGAATTAATTGCTCGTGAAGGTCCTCTTGACTCGACCTCTCTTGCTTTAACGAAATTCCCGTACTTGGTCCCCTCGAGTTAGGACTCCATGTCCAACTGCAATTGCACCGACCGGTCACCAACCTGACTGTGACTGGTGATGAAGCTTCGCATGGTGTTCGAGAGGACCCGCAAGCTGGGCTCTGCGAACGCTTGGACCCCGCCATCAAACTTAAAGACGCGTCTTTCAACTGAGCATGGACCTCCACCGCCCCCTGCGTCTCCTGACATTGATCGATGTCGCACCCGTGGTCCTTCTTCGATATTTCTCTTCGATCCTTTATGATGCAGTTTGTTTCTTCCCCTCTCGTGGAGTATACGTAATGGAACGATGGAAGGATCCACGGATTCAAAAGCAGCCTCAAATAGACCCGGATTCAACCCCAACAAACACATTTTTGCCGAAGTTTTCAAACCAATGGGATTCGCCTGATTGGCTTGGGCGTCAAGGGATTTTCATATCAGAAATTAGAGATTATCGGTTTATAATCACCAACCGCGTGCAAACTACTTTGGATCGAGACTATTTGCATAGTCCAAAGATCCGTACTTAACCTGTTTGTTGGGTTTGCAAGACATATCGTGAATTTTCAAATCGTCGACTCTCCGGAAACGTGCCGGTGGATTATCAAAAAACAAAAATGCAGCATGAAAGTATTCTCGATTCATTTGTTCGGTTATAAATTGCGACGAACGAATTAATGTGGGATCAGAGTGTGGAAAAGAAAAAAAAGTCAAGGGACATCCTTGTCGATGCAAAAGAAGAAGGCGAACTCAAAATCAAACTATTATCGATGCAATAGGTGCAGACATACTCTCGAATCCTTAGGTTCGATGAAGCCCATGTGGAGCCTACTTTCAATTAAGAACGCCGAGACTTTTCCTCGAAAGCATTCTCGAGAAAAGGGAGTTAGAGCCAATTGGAGTCACTGAACCATGATTCATCCTTGCTAGACTTTACTTCAATCAAAGATCTCACTGGCTTGAGGCTTGAGCAGAAACACTGCATCTTTCCTGGTCTTTCTTAGGTATTGAAGTGGGTCTCCAGCTAAATCAAACAGCAAACAACGCTGATGCACTTAGGGGACCGGCGGACCCGTTATGCGATTGGACGAACAGGCGGGCTTGAAGTCAACGATGTCGGATTGAGCTCAAATTTGGTCGGCTGAAGCGAAACGGCGTGCTGATCAATACTCACGCCTTTGGCCGTGACTAACGATGGATTTTCGCGATTCGAGATTGTTTAGATGGGTTTTTCTTTTTTTTAGTATTTTTTTATGGGTTAATTTAGTAAAGGGTAGTTTCGTAATTTTACGTTTTGATGTTTCCTAATCCTAGTAGGGCTTGGTTTGGGGTTATATAAACTTGTTTTAGGGTTTCTTTTTAGCAGACTTGGATATTTTTGATTTGATAATCATATTTGGAGGACGAATTGTTCTTCTGTCGAATTTTCTTGTTCAGTCAATTTTTCTATCGCGTTTCGGCATCAAACGCTATCTATTTACGCTAGTCTAAGTTCACTTGCACCTTCTGGGCCTTCGGTCACTGATACCAACTGGTCTTTATGACGTGCAAAGTCGGTGGAGTGGTGGACCATGCGAAGCCCTAGTAGACTGAAAGGAACAGATGACGATCCCTTCTCCTCATTTTAACGTACCGGTGCCTGCACGCCTCGCACCCCCAATTTCTCTTGTATTTTTGTCTTCCCTAGGAAGCGGAAATCCCCTCTAGAAGTTTTACATCCTGAGGTCCGGATGAGGACCGAGATAAAAGCCTTCTAAGGACTTGCTTAGGTTCGAGTCTTTCTGACGTGTGATGTTAGCGGAGCGGACCATGCGAAGCCCTGGTAGATTGAAAGGAACAGATGATGATCAGACCTTCACCTCGGAAGATTCCAGTTTTCCCGTTCTTTTCTCCAAAAGACTTAACAGTAAATCATACGCATATGCAGATACTTGAAGAAGTCAAGTCCTACTTTTCGTTTTGTGGGTAAGACCTTCTGCATTGAGTGTGGAAGGAGACCGAAACATGTTCTATGCAAGGTCTTCTCCCACGTGGTCAGGAGGGAATTCTTCAAGTTTCCTCTGTCCCCAAAAACAAAGGAAACTTTGTTGGAATTAGGGAACTCTTTTGATCCAAAGCGTATCGCGCGGGAATCGACCGCTTATGATTCTTTGAACGCTATATTCTTTTTTGAGGTAGCAAGTTGGATGGGAACTGGGATACAAGGA